AACGAAGACACTTTAGGAACACATTGAGGCGTCGAAGATCCAGAATTGGCCGGAAACCGCCATCCTTTTTTGGAACAAGGAAGTACGTCGAGTAAAAACCATCCCTCTGTCTGAGAGGGGGAACTTTTTCTATGGCTCCTTTCAACAACAGCGAACGAACTTCCATGGAAAGGGCCATTGAACTGGTCGCATCTTTGATGACTGTCGGAAGAATTCCTGAAAACTTTGGAGGCCGGCGTCGGAACTGCAAAGTGTATCCCCTGTTCAGAGTTGTCAGAACCCAGGGGTCGGATGTTGATGTTTCCCAGTAATGTAGGTGCTGTGCAGTGAAACGACCGACTGCCAGCCCAGAAACTTCAGGGTTTCTGGTTTCTGCCCTTTGAACCTGGGCGGGGGAAAAGGGCGGCGCAACTGAGTCTCTCCGGCCACTCTGTGTCGCTGTGGCATCTGAAGTTGGGGGCTACAATGGTGACGCAACCGCTGCTCTGAACTCGAGTAGCGTGGGTGAGCTGGTGTCAATGGCATCCTAAAAGGAGGAGCCCGTGGGGCCTGAGTTAACTGTCGTGTGGCCTCTGACAACTTCATTCTCTTTTCTAGTAGTTCAGAAATGTTGGGGCCAAAAAGATGTCCCGGTACAATTGGTAGTTCCCTCAATGTTCTCTTACAATCTTCAGGCAACCTTGCCTGAGCAAGCCATACCTGCCGTTGGGCTGTTAGAAGGGTCGCCGAAAGTGTCCCAAGTTCACGCGTTACATGACCTATAGTCAACAGGGCAGTCTGTAAGAACTGAGGTACAGAAGGGTCAACATTCACTGACTCTAATGTGGTGTTACAGGCAAGCAGCAGCTGGCAAATAGTATTCTCCGCCCGGGTTATGTAGGCTACGGACTCATATGCTTTTTTCAGTAATGCGTCAGTACGACCACATTGGGCACTTGGGCAGCGGACATTGCCTCTAAGCGCTTCATCTGGTGATATCACCAATGCTGCCACCGGCTGTTCAATTTCAGGTGCCCGACCTACTCCAATAAAGTCAGCGTCAGCCATTGAGGCAAGAGTGCGGGCTGTCTTTGACCTCCTCTTAGGCACATTGGAGCTTGTTAATGCACTGGAGAATTCAGGCTGCATGGCAGGATCCAATTAGATGCACTCATGGATAAAACATCTAAATCGATAGTATTTGGGGGTTGGAAATCAATCTCGTTCACAATGCAAACACGGATCAGTCAACGCTTCCTTCAGATGCTGTATCCCCTAACACGACGGGCAGCGATCTCTGTCAAAACATAGAATAGAACCGAAAGATTTAACGTTATAAGGGAGAGGAATTATACGTGAGTTATCAGAACTGCCTTTGGATAGTACCGCGGGGCAATGAGAGTTTACATGACGGTGAGTAGGCGACGAAATCAATGATAAATAGGTCAGCGGGGAAACGCTACCTAAGTGCGATCGAAACCAGCCACCGGATAGTAACGTGAAGCACAGGGTATCGCCGACACAACAAATGAAATAATGTACACTCACGTAATGAAGAAAGGGAATCCAAAATATCCGATGATAGTGCAGAGCGCACTGTCACAGCTTGGGAGGGCGAATCCTCGCAACTCAGGTAAGCTGCACGGGACAGCGCTAACCAACGACCTATCATAAGCGAGAAAGCGAAAGATGCTGGGCATCGAGCTGCTGTGGTTTATATCCTCGCATCTCGGTCTATGTCATGACGTGACTCTGTTGGTATTTCCTTCTCAACCTATCTAGCTGGCGCAGCGATTATCCATTAGTGCTTAGCACCGCCTCTGGCGGTCAGGAGGAATGAAACAGAACTGATCAGAGGCCAGTAGTAGGTCATTTACCACTTTAACCAGTGCTATCTCTGTGCTATGATGAGGCCTAAATCCTGACTGATAAATTTCATGAATGTTATTCTTATGTAGGTATGAGCATAACTGCTGTGCTACAACTTTTTCTAGGATCTTGGAGATAAAGGGGAGGTTTGATACTGGCCTATAGTTGGACAATTGAGGTCAGTTTTTTTAATCGGGTTTGATAACTGCTTTAGGTACATAGCCAGTGCTAAGGGAAAAAATTGATTATTTTTAGAAGAGGTTCGATTGCTTCTGGAATTATCTGTTTGAGGAAACACTTAGTAAGGGATCTAGTATACAGGTTGATGATTTTGATGAGGAAATTAGTGAAATTAGTTCGGTCTCTCGAAGGGGAGTAAAAC